GTGTCGTGGTAATGTTATTTAAATGATTAATTTCGAATGATATTTAAATGATGACAAAACTGACATAGTACATTTGTATTTCAGACGGCTAAATTGATGCAATTTTGGATTCAACTTCAAAAACATTAAATGACATAATAAGATATTCATACAAGTTACGGTAATCATTCAAATTCAATTCAATTCACAGGCAGTAATCGATATGCAAGGTTACAGTTTGAATGATTTGCATAAAGGCTCTTTGTTGCTGCGAAAATCAAAGAATTTGATATTTCTGTAATTCAAGAAAAGGTACTTAAGAAAAGTAAGGATTTGACCTATCACAACATGTATGACATAAGTTTGACATTTAATGAAAGCATCGTTTAATTGAATTGATGATAAATTGAAAAAACTAATAGTTATTTTAGTTGCAAAAAAATTTTTTTATTTTTCAGCATTATTTGTAAGTTGGAAGTAAGCTTTTTAAATAGAAATGTAAAAATGTTTGGAGTGTCAACCGAATAGGAAAAAATGTTCGGAGTGTCAACCGAATAGGAAAGCTTTAAATTACACAAAGTTTGAAGCAAAACTGGCCGTAGTTATTTCTTACTTCAGGTGAATAAACAAAATAAGAACAAATTCACGAACAAGCCTTAAGGTCAAAATTAAAATTAAAATTGAAACCTTTGCTGTAAGCATTGTGATTAGTGACTGTTAAATAGATATTTGGAATTGTAGCAAAAGGAATGATAGTGATGATAAGAACTGAATTATACTCTAGCTATCTTATCTAATCTGTATTCATGATAAGAAGATAACAACATTATTGATTAGTATTATAGGTGATCTTATGAACAGTAATTAATTGTTTCTTTAACAAACAAATCAGCTAATTTGAAGTTATTCCAAAGATTTGTAAATCATTTCAAACAAAGTTTAAGTTTTTTTTTTTTTTTTTTTTTTTTTTTTGTAACAACGTAACAACAGCAATTTAAAAAAAAAAATCCTTACTGACATCATCATTTTTTCCTTTCTTCTTCCCAATTATCTCTCTCTCTCTTTCCCTCTTTTAATTATATGCAAATTCTGATGCCATTATTGAAATCTGCCCATCATTTGAATTTAAAAAGTATGTTTAGTGTAGAAGTAATTAACATTTTCTTCTTTTTTAAGGCAATAAATTAAACTCATTTAAAGATTTATTTCGTTAAAATGTGGAATGGATCAGTTTATTAATATTAAAAAGAGTTTTGTATTTTCATCCTTCTTTTTTTTATATTTCTAAAAGTAAAAAGTATAATGTATTAAGGCATGTCAGTTTAGAATAAATTTTAAACTTTTTTTTTTACCAACGATTGAAAATGATGACAATTGGGAAAGTTTTACTTTTTGTATTTACAATGTTTCGATAAGAATTATTCTTCACCTATCCAATATCTCACAATGTAATCTACTAAACATACCTGAACATCTTACCTGTTTAGCATATTATCTTATTAAATATCAATACTTTTAAATGGATACATTTCAAACTTTTTATTATAAAAGGTAAAATTATGAGATCAGTTAAATGCATGATTACAATTATATTAGAGATATAATAAGTTGAGGAATGGAAAAGTGATTACTTTAAAACATTGGTTCCGAAACTTTTCTGTACTACAAATCACTTTGACTTATTTATTTGCAGCATGGACCAGAAAGTTCAAAAATAATAAATTCTGTTAATTTAAAAATAAACTTGAATCAAAACCTTTAACGTATGAGTTTGTCAAGCATTGATAAGACTAGTTTCCGCTTGATTTCTAATAGACCTATCAAACTCTGATAGGAAAAGTATTTTTTTTTTAAGTGAACTAATCAATCTCAGCTTTTCATGATTTCTTCAATCGAATTTAAAATATTGCATAAGACAATGAATTCCGCAATATATGCAGTGTTTTAGTTTCACGGAATATATTCACTAAGATCAAACGTGAACGTACGTACGTGGATTATCAATGCCACTTCACAATACACTTGGAACGCACACCTTGATACAGCGTAAAGTGATGGATCTATGAATTGCACAGATGATTTTTGTTCGTAGATATTGTAAAATTCAGTGAAGATTTCTACGAAATGTAAAGTCATATAACTAAATAATGACGTGATTGCTAACTTTTCCGTCATTTGATAAGAGTTTGTACATTTGGCTATGAGACAGTACCATGCTTTAAATCTCGATTTGCTCCACTGATAACAGGAAATGTTAACAGTATTACAAAGGGTAAGTTATTTTTATCAAATAATTGTGATCTAATATAAGAATCTAATCTAAAATCTAATCTGAATCTAATCTAATATCCTGAATTCATTTATGAAGTTGACCATCATATCTTCCCACAACAAGATGGTCGTCATCTGGTTGGACAATCAGTTCTGAAACTGGGTGATCCGGAAAAGATGTCTTAATCTAATTTAGCTTGCCTTCATTTATTAATTTGTTCTGTAATCCCCATTTGTATTTAAAATTTATTGTCAATTTATAATTCAATAAATATTTGGTGATGGATATTTGAATCGTTTGCTTTGTCATTTCTATACTAAAGTTTACTTTGAAGAACCGTTTTTTTCGGAATTTAAATTTGTACTTTTTTTTGGAATTTATATTACAAAATAAATAATATTTGTCTAATTATAATCTATGAATTAATTTATACAAGATCCATTTCAGGTTTAGTAATTTAGTAATTTTATTGAGTTCAGTAAAGAAAACTGAAGTCTAATTAAACTAAACCTTATTCTTGACTAAAAAATCATCATTTTCTATAGCTTTATTTTTGTTAACGAAATTTCGAAAATAATATAAGTAAAGATACAAATTGTTTCCGGAAAGTTTAGAAGAAGACAGCACCATTTATTTTCTTAACCGACTTGATAATCCAACCGGAATATATGCCTGATTTCCTGATTTTAATTCAGCTTATTTCTTCATCGGAGCTACAATTAAACGATAGAGCGGTCTTTTAAGTTACTTTATTTTACTATTATCTTATGGTGCTTGCTGTTTTGCGCATTTTAATATTTAACAGCGCAGTAGTTCTGTTTAAAATTGTTTAGTAAAAGCATTTTTGAATAGAAATGCTTTTTTACCGCCGCAAATAAAATTTCCTGATCTGAATGAATTTTACTATAATGAGCTACGCATGGATTCAACGAACAACCAACCTAAAAGTATCTATTCAGGTTGTGGTACTTCATGTTATCCGAGGATAAGCGCCTATTTATGGATTAAAGGACATATGAGCTTCTCATGTAAACACCATTATGACGAAATGCAGCAAAGCAGAAATTAAATTTATTTATCCATTGGTAACAATAAATATTCCTTCAGGTCTTAATGAAAGGACAGTTGTTGGAATAGCAAATCAATGTTGCAAAGATGGCTATACTGTATTGGTTCTCAGAACAATTTGTTGTTTTAGGCTATTTTGTCTCATAAAATGCTATCCAAAGTCGAATTATCAAAAACGTATTAGAAGTGTTAGTAATATTAAAATTATACAAGTTTTTAATGTGATAACCTTAACAAACCTTGGATCATTATCAGTTGAATAATTAAGAAAAATAACAATGAATGTTTAAAAGAATGAATCGAAAAGAGTAGAACTTTTCATGTGTAGTTTTTTAAATTAAAGTAAGACTAAGGAAATGAACTGTCATTTTATTGTCTACTGTTACTTTCCACCAAATTTAATCTAACAATAAAATTTTAACTTTTTAGAATTTTGCTTAATCCTATGAGAGAGAAAATACTGTTATCAAGAAGACCGCTGATCGAATTTTATAGGTTAATTTCAAAAAAATAAAAAATAAAAAACATTTTGTTGGATCTCTTTTCGTTAAGTTTTTGTATTTAAAAATAATTTTATTAAATACTATGCTATGAAAAAATTGGTGATATCATAGACTTAAATAAATATTTCAAATATTTCAAACTTTTTTTTATTCTAAAATGCCAACTTTGAATTTCGAAATTTCAGAAAAATGTATGTATGAAACGATTAAATTTTGACGAAGGACAAACTGCAAACACTTTTAAATGTTATTGCATATTATTTGGTCATTAGCACCTGGCAGTCTGTAACTAATTAATTTTCAAATCGTATATTGTCTGTATATTTGTAGTTTTTTTCTTTTCTTTCTTTAATTTAAAGTTTGAGGGACAGTATTGAAGGGTAGAGTTATAGTCTTTGAAGTAATTCTAAATTTAAATCCACTCCAGAATCATTCCATAAATTAATTAATTACTTTGAACAGTTCAAATTCACTAGTTGAAATTAATAAGTGTTTCCTACCGATGTATAATATTTGTTATTGCTGCATCCATTTGAACCATTGAAGATGATGTGTAATTAAAATTGTGAAGGAAATGCTCTCTGCACAAAAAAGGAATGTCGAACAAATGAAAGAAATTTATGTGACCTTTAAAAGCGATAACCACCAAGGTCAAATTCAATAGCATTAAAGTTGACAGTATGTTATCAAGACCCGGTCATGACACCAAAGGCACGTTTGATTAATTGAAAGCCCAAAATTAATTGATACTCAAAAAATCAATAATTAACATAATCAATAATTGAAAAATCAACAATTAAAATCAATAATTTTATTTAAATGCATCAGTTAAGTTTTATAATGATATCATAATTTTTTTTTTAATGCGAAATGCAAATTTCGAACTATTTTATGCATTTCCTATGCAATTCTCATAGTTTTTTAAAATCATATGTTTTGTGAAATGGCAATCGGTCAGTCAAAGTAAGCATTCTATCATTTGAATTGAATGTCAAGAGTTTAATTGTCGAGAATAGCAGTAGAGGCCAAGTTTTGAAATTACTTTTTGCAATTTGTTAGCAAAAAAAATGAAGCTGATTTTTAAATATTTTAGAGTAAGAGAAGAAAGAAAAACACATAAATGAATTTGATTGAAATAACGTTTAAAGTATGATTTATACTAACTTTAGCTTTATGGTTAATATTCGAGACAATATTTGTAGAGGTTATTATTGCATGATCGATGGGACATTACTGCTATTAATAATGAATGAGTTGATCTTAGCTTGGATTCTCTATGAATTATTAAATCCAACATCGATATGTTGGAAGGAAATATTTCATTATGATAATGAAACATATACGCCACTTGATGAACGAATGATGCTACAATTGGGATTAACCAATCAACGATTGTATACCTTTTTTGTACTAATGAGAACAATAAAACTAATATAGTTATAGAGTGATAATGTAATGATCAAGATCAGTTCTTTGAGATTATAGCTATAATATCGATTTACTTTACCCATTGAGATCATTACAAGCTATGAAAACTTAAGCAGAAACGGGTCAGATGAGACAGAGTAATATTTTAAACCGAAATTTAGACATACTCGGATGTATCGAACGTTAGAAACATGCATACAAATACGACTGGAAACACTATTAGGCAGAAGTTTGGATGTAAATAATCTTAACAAATTGAATTTCCCATTTCAAAATCAGGTAATACTCCTATAAAAACAATTTGGCGAGCGCATTGTGAATGAGTTTTAGGCGGAAAAAGGTCATAGTCATGTTATTACAGTATCATCCTAGCTGATCACTAATTAATTGATGATCTGATAACGGAATTTATAATGAAATTTGAATAACAATGGAATTCGAAATGGAATTTAAATTTCAAAAATATTATTAGCATTTCTGAAATTTCATAAAGCGATTTTATGAAATTTTAGATCATCACAAGCTTGTTTGAAGGAATATTGGCGCTATTGACCAATAGTTGGCATATTTGGCTCATATGTCATGTTAAATTACCCACTACTATGACACCTAATAATGTTGCACTTCCAGTACTGAATATCGCCGGTAATTGAATACTACCACTAATAAACTGAAATAGATGGAAGATTTGAAATTTGATGGAGATTGAAAGAGACTTGAAATTTGGTGTAATACCTATCGCATAAAAATTAATTAAAGAAAGTTGAAACAAAACATCACTTTATTAATTATTAACCAAATTAATTAATAAACTATTTAGTAATTGCATCAAATAAATACTACTATTTGGTTAAATTATTTATTGGTTAATCTCTTATTCCGTTTAATATTATCTATAAAATTTTTTAAATTTATCGCTTAAAGAAAAAGTTTCGAATGCTTTATTTGCATAATCAATTCACATTTTAGCTCTCAGTTCTTTATTCTGGATTATGATATCGATTATTTACGAATGGCCGGATTTATGGCATAAGAAAAGTTTGATCCAACAAACACCCACATTTCCATTTGCTGAAATACGAGTTCGTTTTTTGTATGATTAAAAGGAATGGGAGGTGAATACAAGATATCGTCAAATATTCTTTTCATTTATTTGTTTAACTAATCATTGAATATTGTCAAATATCGCATACTATTAAGTTATCAGATTGTGAGATATCAGACAGAAGCACAACAAAATGATCAATGATAAATGAAATAAATAGGTATTGCATTTAAGCTCATGAAATTGTTAGCTTCTGCTTCAGTTATCAACAGAATGATGATAAAAGATAGAAGAGGAAGTCTGTAGATGCAAAACGTGAACCAACAAATCAATAAAACCATTGCAGCCTTCGAAAGTTGTTGCTCTCATTGCTAATTAATTAGTAAAATTATTGTCACTTCCAGGTATTGTTGCTAATTTCAATTGCTATTCTTATCAATTGGTTGTTACTTTATACATTATATCGAGCATTCATCGTAAATAAGAATGGTGTAGCAAGGATGCTTTTGGAAAGTGACGAAAAATCAACATAATTTGGAATTTGTTGGAGGGCTTGGAATTGACTTAATTTAAGCATTGCAATAAATTAATTAGCTAATTTCCAATTGACATAATTTGGTTCGATTTAATTTTCAGGTTATTTAATTGCAAAATTTGCATTCGCATTACATCACAAATCCTTGAAAATGACCAATTGCATTTTCATTCTCGTTTTTCCGTGTTAATCTACAAGTTTCACTTATTTTCATTTTTCAAATTAATAGTTAACTTCTTTGTATTAGGAGTGAAATCTAGATAGAAGCGCCTGGAGCGCAAAAAATACAGTAGTAAGTCCATCAGCAAGCAGTAAAAACAGCAAAGATACATTTCAAATCTAACAATTCTTGTATGTAAATTATCATCAGAGCTAAGATCGTTTCCTTTCTCGATCATATAAATCCCTTCCACTTTCCTCAGGAAAAAAAATGAATTAAGTAAAAAAGAAAAGGAATTATAAGAGTGTGACCATATAAATTTTGGAATAAAAAAGAATTTGAACTTCTAAAGTTTGAAAATTGTGCACAATGTGGTTATTTCAACTGTCCTGTAATTAATTAAATTAGTGGTTGTAATGAATTTAACAAATCATTCATTAATCCATCCATATTTATTCATATTATATTAGTACATCAATTCATTAAGTATTGATGACATCATACTACATAAAATGTGACATTTTCGTGTTTTATTGATTTTACACAATAACGCATGTCGGATTAACAGAAAAATAAAATGAAATGAAATTTATATAATAACGATCAGACAGGATGATGAAATCCTGTGAGTAATTAAGGTGATGAGGAGGATATAAGTTAACAAACAATTCATGGTTGAACAATGGACCATGCTAAGGGTCAGTTGTACCTCCGCGATGACCTCAGTGGAGCTTACCAAAGCCTTAGATATATCAAAAGAAAAAATTCCACAGGTAAGTTTTTACAATAAAACACATATTAGACCGTTTCTCTACACTTATTCACCACCTCTTCAATTACCATTTACTCTATCCCTTCCTTTCTTCTTTCATAATTTGACATCTATTCTGCAACCAGCTCAATCCTTATATCTGTTATTACGAAACCTATTATGAAAGTGACAGTCAACTATTACCGAAGACGGTGACAAAAGATTTGTTAATTAAAGTTGGTCACATTGCTTACTTATTGTATAACTGATTTCTGTCGCTGCTTACCAATTTATCGCGTGCTTCATGTATTTCTTTCTTATTATTGTTAATTAGTAATACTGTGTGAGTATAATATTACAACACGAATAAACCCATATGGTAGACGAACGGATCAATAAATTAACTTTCTTGACAATACTACCAGAAATTATCATTTCTCTCATCGCCAACTTTTTTCCGTATTTCCAATTTCAAAACCAACAGTAATTCTGCCGTCAGAAATTGTCCAATGCAAATTTGTAGAATTAAAACGAAGAAATGTGACGCGAATATTAACCATTAAATTAATGGAATGAACTGAAATAAATCCCAATTATATTTGCAAAAATCAATTTCAAAAGTTTTTACTGATTACATCGAAATTTTCAATAATTTTGATGAGAATTATTTCGTATTTTGTAGCTTTATCATTCTTTCTTTTTCCTTATTTAAATTATTTTTAATCATCGATTTATCCATTTTTACAACGGTACACATTTCACGAAGTTCAATCCAAGTATTATTATGATATGAGAGCAGTAATAGTCCATCTAGTCCTAAAGCACAGAAAATGATTTTGAAATTTTCAACAAAATCCCGAAGCTGATTGTTGTACGTAAATGGCAAAGATCAAAAGTGTGAAATAAAACGAACAAACTATCGCAAATAATGAGTAAAGCAAATGGAGAGGTTTGATAAATTAAAACCAAAACCAGTGAATTGCTTCTCTAAAATTAAAGTATAATTTCGAAAAATAAAGATTAAAAAATTTGTAACTCATTTTAAACAGTTAGACTTTTGACATTTTCAGTTCGATTTGTGATATAATGAAGTAATTTAGTTTTCATTACACGATTTATTATAATTTTATTACAAGTTATGGTTAAATATTTGAAAGGGTATGCTTTTGGGGTGCTTCTTCCAATTAAGTATAAGTAACAATTAACATATCTATCCCTAGCACATTCAATAGTTAACTTTAAATACATTACCCGATAGTTAAGTTAACCGAATAATTCCGCCAGAAACATAAACGATGAATCGATAAGATTACAAAGTAGTAAATATCAGAAATTATCAAGGTCAACATTCAACATGATCCACATTTTCCATGACCCGCTTTTTTTTTTTGTGTGTTTCTTTTAAAATGAATTCCTAATAATTTTAAATACTTTTTTTGCTGTAAAGGTTTAAGTAGTTCATATATATATATATATATGATAAAATACTTCATGAAAAATAAAATTCTCGGAAAGAAAATTATGGGATTCAAATAAATATAACCAGTGATGACTGAGAGAGGTCAACTATAATTGGTCATAAAATGTGAGCTTTAAAGAAATTAACAAAATAAGATAAAATATGAATATTATATTATTAGCTGGCGCTGAAGCCATGAATATTGTAGCTGCTGAAGTATCGAAAAATCGACGTTTCGCACCTGGATAGCAATATTGTCGATGCCTACAGATACATTCCTGTATATCAAGTTGTTCGTGTAGTCTGGAAAACTATCTTTAGTTTCTTTTTTTTTTTACATAGTTTTAATCCTTTGATCAATTTGTGCATTCATTGTTACTGCTAATTCTTTGATCAATACCGCCGCCATTATATCTCATATTTTTGAAAAAAAGAACGTTCTTTACTGAATTAGTAGTCGGAATATTAATTAGATAACGAAATTCTTTACCTCTGGCACGTATTATCACCACGTGCATCAAGCAACTTTTCATTTATTGCTCCAAATGTTTCAGCACAACCACGCATTGTAAATGCTGAACCTGAAAGGTGATGTCAAAAATGTAGCGGAGTTTCTTTTTTGTAGTTCTCAAAATTTTTTAATTGCACATTTTTACAATTAATAGGATTAAGAATGAATAAAAGTTTTTGAAATATATTCATAAGATATTTTATAAAATAGAAATGAGATGGAAATAAATCATCTGTAAAATTAAAAAGAACAATGGTAGAGAGAGTGTCATTGTTTTATCATTTGATCGCTTAGTGTAAGTGAATTATGCGAGTATTATAAAAGAGATATTTGAAACAAATGCTTGAATTTTAAAAGATTTGACATAATAATTGGTAAGACAACATCAATTATCGCATGGAATGAATTTTAAATATCTCCAAAATGTTTATTAAATTTTTGACGTTCCAAATGAGAAGTGCTAATGTTCAATTTAAAAAACAGAAGATAAATTGCTGTCGATTATTTGCATACCTATACGAATGAAATAAAGAGGAACTTACCTGTATCGTGATCTGTCAAAATTAGCGTTTGACAATAGGGATGTCGACAATGTTCCACAGCTAACTCCGTCAAATTACGTGGTTCCGAGCATCGCGTATTCTTCACTTGAACCGGATAAGCCGTACGACGAATGCGTAGGAAATTTGCAATTGCACGCTGCATATTTCCACTCATTATACTTAGCGGACTCGTACAATAATAACACCAATAGCTATCATCTGTGGTTAATATCAATAAGAATTCCTCTTTCGTAAAACTTAAAATTAAAGGGGAAAAGAACTAGATTTAAGTTTCAAATCCTTTAGATTTAAATAATACCATTAATTTGACCCTTCATATTCTTTGTCATTTGACGGCCGTCAACTACGGGACAATTGGTCAGTTTAAAAGTTTAGTTCTTGTCATATTCAATTAGACCAATAATGAAATTAACAAGAACTATGCAAGGAAATATATAGGTGATATATATTTCGCATAGGTAATATTAATTAGAGAGTCGATTATTAGATCAATTATTCCATTTGCAGCACGAAAAAAATATATTTAAAAAGATGTATATCTAAAAAGACATATTTAAACTATATTATGTTAAAAATTTTGATTGGAAACTATATTTAAAAATTCTAGCATTTTAAATAAAGTGCTTGAATATCTATTTCTTGTCAACTAATTTATCTCTAAATGTCACCACCAATCAGTTCAGCATCAATCCATATCCATGATAAGCTATCCCACGCATTAATATCACTGTACTTTTTCCATCACCACAAAATGGAAATTACGAAAAATATCCCATATACCATTTTTTTTTTTGTTCAATCATTTTCCTATTTCCACTATCAAGAAAAATCACTTTTGAAATACTTCAATTATTGAACTTGTTTTCTCTGACGTAATTCCACTAATTTTGAACGAAATTATTTGCAATGATGGAAAGCCCATTATAACTAAGATAACTGTAGAATGAGAGATTCGCTCTAATCCATTAATTAAGAAAGATTTCAATTCCCATTTTGTCCAGTAAAAACAAATACACCCATTAATTAATTACCTGTTGTAGTAGTAACGACACTAGGAAATGTAACTGGTAGAACTGTTCCCTTTATGTACTGATAAGATTCAGTTATCGGATAATTATGGTGATCATCCCGCAGCATGTTATCACCATCTACAGCAATAGCAGCAGCGGCAGCAGCAGATTGGGAGCGCTGTTCCATTTCGTATTCCATTTCTTCCGCCTCCATTATCTTCAATTCATTTCATTCCAGAAAAAAAAAGAGACATTTTACAGTGCTGGTTGGAAGATTGAAAATTTTGCATTGAATTTTGAAAAAAGTGAAACATTTCATGTTTCAGTCATTTTATCCAAAATATGAATTTTTCGAAAATTTGAAATTTCAATTTCAAAGTTTATTTCATTTTAAATAATGTCGTTTTAGTGTTCGATTCAGAAGAACTGTTAAAGCGACAAATAAAGTGATATGATGAAAAACTGTCATTGGCATTGGGAGCGAGATGAAGGACAAATACATTCATTGTATATGAGAGGATACTACTTTATAAAAATTCTATTTTGAAACTTTGGTAAATAAACTTGAATTGAGACTTTTCATTTTCGAGTATTTCACTTCAGAAAATTTAATCGAAAGATGAAAATGAAGTGAATCAGTGGAACTGTCCCAAACAACCTGTTGAATCCTTCGAGCTTCATCTTGTTCCGTCCATTTCTTTCGTGATACTATCGCGACATTTCCATTTCTGATGAAACAAATATCAAAAATTGTAATAAACGCTATAAAACGTCCTCGAAAAATTGCCTCAATCATGACAATAGGAACATCGCTGCTGAAAATACTACCAAATATGATATGATGGAGTGAATCAGATCCGATCCATCAATAGATTCACACACACACACACACACACACATACATACATACACACATATTACACACATACACATACATAAACACACATACACACACACATGCACACATATACATGGATCCTTCTTACCTATCCTTTAGTGACATTCAACAACAATGTTGGGCTATGAAATATGCCAATATTCTTCTGTAGTGGTGATATTTTCTAGTGGGAACAACAAATGACAATAAATGACAACAGTACATCTGCTATACAATAGGTGGATCGATAGCGTAGATGGTTGGAAGGGAACAGCGATGTTAACGATGTCGCACTCATCTCTTAATGAGATGAATTTTATTATCAGGGGATCGATCGCCACCAACTTATTGTCAACTCTACAATCCCCGCTCAAAAGTATTGATAGAAGAGCATTTGTTTGGGTAAGAAATATAGAAAATGGAAGAACTATCTCAGCCGATAAATCACGAATTGCGCAAACTGTCCCACCTCTTTCCATCCTTTCCGATGGTATGGGTGGGAGAGTTGAGAGAAGTGTTTGTTCTCTTATACCATGTCGCATTCTTTCCACTAATTAAATCACACTTCTAATCAAAAAAAAAAACCGAAATAAATATCTTTTCAGTAATTATATATAAAGCTGGATCACGTCACATTTTCAGCGACATTGTTCAACAATAAATCATACGATATTTCATTAAATGAATGAAATCATCGTCATACTTTGGGTTTTATTAGGACTAATTCAACACTTTAAACTTTTACGCCTAAAATTTGAAGTTTTGAAACTTAAAAGCTAACACCTAAAACTAATTCATTCACACAATGAAAACAGTGAATTGATTGATGTGATCATGCGTGTACGAAAGTAATGATGATCAAAGGATGTGTTGCTGAAATAATCCACTAAAATTAACTCAGAAAATTAAGCTACGAGAAAGAATAATCGTAAGAGCAAGGTTCGAAATTTGGGGAAAGATATGGGGTATTTTATTGGGAAAAATCTGCTCTCCCTCAACTGTGTTTTTTCCCTGAAAGAACTTTCTGGCATTAATACATCCATTTTCTCATGCTAATATTAGAAAGTAATGTTTTAGTGCATATGTGTATATATATATATTTCTATCTGATAACAGAGAAAGTTTAACACCTGCACTATATGGAGAAAGAAAAAGAGCAGAATGAGCGAAAAATTGCAATAATGTAAACAAATTATAAAATGATGAATGAGAAAGGTGGGATATTTATGATGAAGAAATTGATGATTTCATAACTAATGTTTCATATGTTTCCATCTTCGAAATTGATATCAGGAAATCATTCGTTACTTTTTTCATTTCAACATCAAAAAGAAAACAAAATGGGAAAATTAGCAATCCCTCATCTGCGGAAATTCCAACACTTTCAAACATGCAAGGGGACAATGTATAGACGAATTTAATTTACGATAAAGCCATTGCTGAGTTGAGATTTCTGTAAGATGAATAATGAATGAATTACTTCGGATCAGCAATCGATGTACATTTTATATCCCTCCATTGCAGAATTACTCCATAAGAACAGTGTCACATCTTCCCTTTTATGCAAGCTCAAATGAGAATTGTACAACTTTATGATTAACCACTCATTAAACAATGTGAGCGGTTATCATTCGTAACTTAAAGGAAGAAGACAAAAAGCAGGATGAGGTAAAAGTGCTTCTGTCGTTATGAGGGAATTAAGTGCTGAACAGGCAATATGATACTTCCAACCGCCGAAGTGTTCTGTACTACAAAATAACGATCAGAGAAGTGATTTCAATGAATTTTTAGACAACAGATATCTGAAATTAATTTCAAGAGATTTAAGCATAAGATCGGATTGAGTTAAATACGCAGTATGAATGATTCATTACGGCTTTACCGCAATGAAGTTTGTGATTCATTACGGCTTTACCGCAATGCAGTTTGTCTTTTTTTTTTTTGGAAAAAATGTCGTTTAACATTTGTAGGTTGGTGCTAGCCTGGAAACGGGATTTATAGCAATTTATATGCTTTTATTGACCAGTGCACCAACATCATTCAATATTATTCAAAATTTGTAAAGAGAGTTTGATTACCGACTATCGGTTCCAATTACTTCCCTAGTGCCAAGAACACACTCAGTCTTTTCCTAGTTAACTGAGTAATTGTATTTATTCGCCATACTTGTGGTGGATGCATCATGACAAATATATCCAATTAAAAAAGGTAATATTTCCGCTTAACAAATTTTGTTCTTTTTTGTAGTGACAACTGTTAAAAATTAGTGATATGAGGCCGCATCAACACGTATCTGAATAAAATTAAGCTGAATTTTACTAGGTATTTATTTGTTAACACACTTATTTGTTTAATAAGTGAGTTATTTATGTTGTATATGTAACAAATAAAAAAAAAATCAGTTATGAGCATGAGTAATAAGTTGTCCTACGCCGGCGTTCGGAGCAGTATTTAGACAATAGCTATCAAAACCGACTTGCTTAACCCTATTTTCTTTCACGAGCTTCGTTAAATGTTTATTCACATTGTTCACGGCTCCCAATTTAACTGACCAAGATATATCCTGGAAAACAGACTGGATAAACATGAATACAATTGAACAGTTAGGAAAATTAATAATTAATAAGTGGCTGCATCGAGTTTATCGAATAAACTTCGCAGGATAACCTTTTTTAAGGTTATTAAAAAAATGTGAAAAGTGACCTTTTTTTTTAAAAAAACGTGAAACCTCGCTCTATTAGCTGTGTATTCTTAATTTCTGTTTGAGGAGGCGAAACAGAAAATAGCATTTGCATCCAAACTTTGATCAAATGGTATCTATGAAAAACGGTGGGAAAACTTACTTTATAAATTAAATTAGTAATTTGCATGCTAGATGCCACCGTCGTATTTTCCAATATTTTCAATATTTCGTCTTCTCGTCTCTTCCGATGTGTTATATATTCATGAATTTTTTCCAAACCATTCTCGATAACAGTCCCATGTCCCGGATATATCCTAGAAATCATCTTTCACTACCAATAAGATTTTTAATAACTGTATGTGTGTGTTTTTGCAGTAGCAACAAAGAAAGTTAATGCACATACCTAGTCACACTAAGTTTCGATAGTGCTTCCAACGAATGCATATAATCATAAAGATCTTCAAATACAGAAGTACCTTCTCCAAGTATGCAGTCACCGCTGAAGAGACTACCTTCTTCTTCAAAATAAAGGGAGATATGATCGGATGTATGCCCAGGTGTTGCAATACATCTGTAACTTATCTAAAGTTTTCTCCGTTGTTTTGTTTCCATTCAATTAAAAGTCGAAGTTTCTACAGGAAATAAAAATTCATATATAGTTCTCGACTGTAAACTACAGAAATAAATGCACCCAGGACGATTACCTTCGATCACCCAGCTTTTATTTATAACAAAACTGTGTGAATGAAATTACCGAATCTAGAAAAAAAATACATATTTCCCACATGGTTTAAAATCAAATTTCCAGCAAAAATAAATTCAAATAAATTTATTTGAAAACACCTTCAAATGATTCGTAGAGAATCAAAATTTACTAACACATCACAGTCATATGGTATGAATTTTTACCATAATATTTGATAAAGAGGAGGGAATATGCACTTGTCTTGTTCTTTTGGTCTTGACCTATGTCTATAACATATATTCCTACTATAGATCAGGCCTGAATAAGGGGGTCAATAAGGGATTGACCCCTGTCAATCCCTTATTTATAATAAAAGTTTGAAACACTACCTAAGAGTAACTCCAGGAGCCGTAATGACACTTTCTGGTGATATGTAATCAAATTTTATGTTGCCCACCTCTAGCGAATCTGTTTTTCGAAGTTTATGAACTGGTACAGGTCCATTCGTTACCTTTAATGATAGCATCAAATTTTTTCTAAAACGTGTCTTAATGTTTTATTTATTTTCTAGTTGTATGTGGTTGAACAGTCAAGACCCATACTTCTGCAAGGTACAATAATAATGAAAAACTCAAACTTAGCTGCGAGATGTGACTAAAATCAGAAGTCTACCTGACTCAACAGAACACCTGTTACAAAATATGGCTTTGAAAAGGAATCTGTCGAGAAGTTAAAACTGAGAAACTTTTAAAAATACTTTGAAATGAAAGAAAATAAGTTACATGTTTGAAAATATCCGGTATGCCGCCTATATGATCATCATGCCAGTGTGTGCAAATAATTAATCTTATTGTATTATTACCCAGTGCTTCCTTCAAATAATCGATGTATTGCTTCACCCCACTGTTACCACAATCGATTAAAATTTTCCTGAAAAAATTAGAAAGAATTAGATTTTGTTTTCGAAGTAAGACTAATGTATCCTATCAATAAGTAGATTATAAGGATTTAAAGATGGACAATAATGAATGACGCAAGTACAATATCGGTACTGTTAGTTCCGCTTTATTCATCATCTCAGACTTACATTATATTTGAAGTCAACGATCAAGGCAAACTAGAAAGCAAGTTTTCGATTTTGAACTACCTTAACCACCTTTGATTAATTACTGTAATCAAAGGCAAAATATCTTGGAAATTTTAGCTTCCCAACTTTTCAGAAGTAAATCATCTTTGACTCAAAGAGAATTTGGTTTTTACATGAGGAAATGGTTCTGCTCAAACCAAATCAAAAATTTTGATTTCTTTACCCTCAAATGTCATGAAAGTTCCCTACTACAGAAAATGCTTAGACTTTGATAACATTACGACTTCTTAATGTAATAATCATTCTAAAATGGGTGAAATTTTATTGTATATTCCGTCCCCTTCTGTCAACCTTAATAACATAAACAGTAATTACTTTTTTCATCATCTCATAACATGCAACAAACAAATCATCTCCAAATCGGTCGCTACAATCATATCAGGAATTATCAGACAAGCGATATATGACAGTTAGATCTGCCAGTTGCTTTAGTACAATAGCTGAACGGAGAAGCAGGAAGAACCTTCTAAAATATTTAAGCATCACATCGACCCAGACATCAAACTGTTTCATTTTAATGGATTTATCAGTTTAGAGTACTAGTTAACTTCGCCTCTATTTAATTACTCTGCAAGTGATTTTATGAATGAACTTAAACCAATGATAGTAATGAATATTCAGAGCATCAAAGCTGATCAAACTGAATTATCTTTTTATTGATCTTACAGAAAGCATGAGAAAAACAAAATGCAAAACGCTCACCCTTCGGTTGCTCCAACCAAATACGTATTAGTTCCCTGAAGCGTAAATGGTCCTGGATTTTGTCCCAAAATGCGACAAACATTTGTTGAGAGTTGGCTGATCGGATCCAACCTGGTTAAGTTGGAAATCTTTTTAGTGGGTACCATTTTGCTCCAGCAATAAGCAAGAAGTGCCAACGAAAAATGAGTTGTATCACATAACAAATTTGTTACCATTTCCGCAACAGCAAAAAATTTCCTCCACCACTCTCCCATTGGTTATTCTTGTACTTCACACTGTTCTGTTCCAATTTTCCTCTCCTTTTTCCTACTTTCTGATTTTTTCTTTACCACTGCTCTGATTTCGTTCAATCAACGGTCACATGAAAATTGTTCTTCTGCACCTATGTTTGGAAATTGATTCGTAAAAACTTGTTTTCTTGTAAAAATGAACAAGATTCGAATCAAAAAATTTCCCCATGAAGAAAGGAAACGGAAAATAATGTTTAATCATGGGAACTTCATACGATACCAAAGTGTATTCAATGAATATATATAACAAATACTCATTATTATGCTAATATACACACATAAATATTATGTGTCGCTGGAAGTACCACGGTCTTAACAACCTGATAGCATTATTTAGTTGACGATGCATAATTTGCGCATACCATTCTCATAAAGTTAGACTCTCAAATGGAAAACTCAAAGCTTTAAATGAAATGGAAATCACCCAGCATCATGAACTCTTCTCAGCCATATTTGGAATATAGTTATGCTATTGCCGGAAAACAAGCTGCTATGAATAACTGAATTATTCCGATGTGACTAATTACTAAAATCAAGAAAAATCCATGCAAAGTCAATAACTCATCGACAACTACCGGTCTCTCGCAAATGGTTCATTACTCGTTTTTCATATTTTTTAAGAACTCAGTAGAAAAATATGGAATTTGAAATGACGTACATTCCGGTCTGTTCTAAAACTCATATGTTCCGTAGTTCTTTATTCGTTATGTCCAACTTCAAACTACATATTTTAAAATAAAATAATTGTCAAGTTTTGTGAAAAGTTTGAAATTAAGAATCTAAAAAGTCCTCCACTAAAGCAATGTTATATTGGAAAAACGGATATCACTTGTTCTCTTCCGAGTTAAAGCTCGAAATAACAGTTTACCAGTCTTCGCAGAGGAAAGTTATGACTGAAACCTTCTCATCCCATTCATTAACTGTAAAACCTGCAAATTATGATGCCATCTCCTAGCAAAAAAAAAAAAAACAAGCCATGGTGTAACGATTAGAGGAAGTTACTGAACAACTTAATAAACAGTCATTCAGTAATGTCACCTCACATCAGCCATAGGAATCATTCAGGAATAATACATAGGAAGGTACTTTATTCACTATAAATAGATAATGTGATCATATTTTTATTCTTGAAAACTGTTTTCTTTCATCAGAAAGTTCACAAGATTTTTGGACCACAATATTCATAATTCATGAGATCAATGAATGAAAAGGAGAAATGAATTCCAAAATAAAAATGTTGAAAATGTTTGATTTAGAAAATGAACAGATTCGCTTCTGTTAGTAATTTGCTTCTATTACTTCAAGTCTTTTTTTTTCAGCTTGCAAGTAAAGTTCTTGCTCGATCACTGACTTTTTTCTTTTTGAAAGTTTATGCAGCGAAAGAAAAAAGAAACTATGACGTCTCCAACACCCAGTATTAACTTGCAAGTCGTACTGAATGGATATTGCATGAAATGTTAGTAGCTTTCAGTGTCTTGATTAGATCTTCCAAAGTTGGAAGTAATCTTAGCAATGCAGCTATGGCTTGCATCGATTATTCAGAAAAGTTCCACGATGACAATCGTAAAATTAATTCGTCCAGTCCATCCTTTGAAAACAACCTCAATTTCAGTGATTGGTGTGAAAATACTTCTTGCCACTTTCCAAAATATATTACCACCATACCCCTTAGCACGAATACTTGTTAAGGTCATATTTTATACACGCGTCACGCGTCTACTTGAACTTTTTCATATCACACGTTTACACACGCATTTTCACGGTATACATGGACTGATCTGTGATAGGATAGGACTGTTCATACGAAATTCCCATACAACGATTACGTAAATTTCAGTCACCAATAAAAGTCGAAATTACCATAGAATAAACACATATATCAGCATGATCCAACTAAAGAAGATCACGTGTTTAGACTCCTGAAAACAATTAACGCTGAAAACAAAATGAAATAAAGGAAAACTAACAGTAAAATAATACGTTATATTAGCGATGAAGTGAAGCGAAACTAGATTGTTGATTACCACCCCCCGCTTGCTACTGTGCAGTTTCCCAATCACCAATTCAATGACCCAGTTATTCGCAACCTGATATCACTTCTTTATCATTCACACTACTCTGCTTTCATTATACACATTTCCCTTTCCATAATGACAATCTCTTTCACTAAATTAAATGTCACGGACAAACCATTCGCCTTCCCGACGTATGACGTATTCGCCTTCCCGACGTATGACGTATGCTGATCTCCTAGAGAAGACTAATTGCGATCGATGTGTACGATGAAAGATTGTGATCGATATTGCGATCCATGGCGTTCTTTCATATACTTGCAAGTTTACACCTTGACAATTAATCCGGATGGGAAATGAGTCCGGATCATGTTATCTCATAAAAAAAGTTTAGGATGGCTCTAACTTGGTCATTTCACCGAGGAGTTACGCTCTTTTGAAAAGTTATAGGGCCGATGATTCATGATGTTAAATTCATTGCTGCAAAGTTATCCTACGGGTTATCACCATTCTCCTGTAATTGTCCCTTAAATGACCGAAATCTAACTGAAAAAGAATGGAAAGCTACGCACACTAACCCCTAACCTGCCACCCGCGTTTCATTCCTTACCAGTTCCTCACGTGATATCTTTGCCAATCGTTGTCACCACTTCTCAGCCACCACTTATGACAACAGACCATCACGAAAACCATAATCCCAGCGTGCATCAAAACGAAGTAGGTTATTCTGGTGAGTTTTAAGTTGGCTATATAACTGATGACTGCCGATGTTAAACTCATTTTTTGCTAACCATTTTGAATTATCTCGCATCACTTTTGTAATTTTTTATTTTATTTTTGCAGTCCATTCCTTGTGCCAATTGCGCTGTGCGCATTTTACATACTTACATTGTTTCACACCGAAGATATAGAGAGGTAAATGTTGCAGTGTTTTGTACTTAGTTTTTTAATGATGGTAAAGGAAATCATTAACATGATTGGACATTATTGTATCAAGTTAAATAATGATTGGAATTATTATATCGAATTAAATAATATTTTGACTAATCGTTTATCGGAAACATTCTCCCGAAGGTTCGTGAAAAGCACATAAGGTTTAATGTTTCGATTGTTGCTACTATTCTTATCAGTATTGTTTTGCAGGAAAAGTGGAATATGATGGTGATAAGGCAAATGTAGGCAACAATTGTTATAACTTGCCTGAGGCATTATCCGAGGAACCGGATATCAACAACTTCCGGTATTATTATTTCATTAATTTCAAATGTTACCACCGGTCATAAAACACGACTCACATGCCGAGGTTTTCTTTTTATCATTTTTTTTTGCAGGAAAGATATGATTAATATTCTTTTTCATATAAAGAAAGTAATAATATGTGTTGCTTGTCACTATCAGCTTTGCAGTGATAACTTCATATGCATAACATTTCACTGTAGGTATTAGAAAATGACTACATAGGCAACATTTCATCGTTGTTCTCTTGTTTTTATTTATCTTTTCTTTCTTTTTGGTATGAGGCATTCTTATTAATCGATTCGTCGTGACTGCAGAAAGTCATTTTGCCGTATTAAATATTACATGAAATGAATAATTGCATTAAATTAAATTGTTATTGCATTACAATTCCGATAAACTTGTTTTTCAAGAATAGTTGATTCCAGTCAGATGGTTCATGGTTAGGCAGTAGTTTGCGCTCATCAGATGGAGGAGCATCGCAAGCTGGAGGTGTTGATGATATTGGCTTGGATGACCGGACACGCATTGAGCGCAAAATAGAACAAATCAAGGAAAGATTATCTCGCATTTCTCTTGCTAGAGAGGGTACCTGTCGCTTATTATTCATTTTTTTAGTAAGAATTTGTCGTAGAGTGATTTCAAATGTATGCATGACTTTTTCAGCTCTTTTTCATTCTACTTTGTCTTTGTTGGTCCAAATTATTTCCAATATCATTTCAGCGGATGTTGATGATTTCTTATCTATGACTAGCAGTATGGAAGGTGGGAACGAAAACCCACAACTGGCACGGGTTCGGCAACATTTCGAGAAAAAAACAAGAAAAGTTCACAAGAAACTGAACATCTGAAGGTTAGTTTAACGTCTGATTTGAAGAATGAAATATCGGTATTTTTCACCTGAACTTACCGACTATCTTCTGATGAAAAATCATCTAGTTCAAGTGCTTGGCTTTGTTTCACATTCCAGTACATCGTGGTTTTTATTTATGTTGTTATATGCACTCTGCACCATTACGTTTCCATACAAGGGGTAAAACTCATCACAGAGGGTCTGACCGCAGAAAGAGTGAAACTCGATAAGTAAAGCCGCAGAAACAACAAAGATATCTGAAACTAATCAGTAGTATCATGTTTTAAATGCTACTCTTTCATACTTCTTTTTTTAAAATATATTTTAAATGCTCCGCAAGAAGAAACTGTGTGGCATTGTTTAAGAAGAAGCTGGAACAACTGCAGTCAAAATTACTGGACTTGAATATGGGAATCGTCACCGAACTTTCACCTAAAAGCGCTGTCCTTAATAATATTAGGTTTGTGACTCAGTTAAAGAATAAAAAAAAATATTCCTGCACTCGGGAAGTAGATCTGTGCGTGTCATTATAAATGGCACCATTATGTTGGATGGCTAGATTGCTAACTATTTTCGACATCTCTTTTAATATGGGATCAAAAATTTCCGATAATTTCTATTTGCAAAGTAGAAATGAGATTGTAACCTACGAATACTGCTGTTTATTTTTCCGTACCTCAACTTTTCTTTACAAATTATTTTAATCTAAGTTTTTTCATGATCATGAGATATACGGATAACTTACACGAATTCTTATTTTTAGCAATAGGTGGTGTGCTGAATGCTCTGCTTGTCGTTGTGGATGTGGAAGTTACACAAACACCGCATCTAGAATGCTTCTTTGAACTCGCTATTTGAATAGTTTCTGGGAATTATGGGACTATATTTTTAGGAAAACGGGTCCACTGCTTCGGGAAGTGATATCTGCACCGCGCGGTATAGCACATATAATCAAAAGTACTTTTGGATCAGCGGATAATATACCGGATAGTATTGCAAGTGATGCATCCAATGTCGGCCATTCCACTTTTTATTCTGATACACAAACTAATGATAGGCTTGTTTTTTCTCGAGTTGTAATGGTTTGCATTTTTTATCTTGTGTACTGTTTTTTCATCTCTTCATTTTTACTTTATTTTGCTGCATATAGGAATCAGAATTCTTTTTAGAATACATAATTTGGATTTCGAGAATTGTGATGTGGCACCACTACCAGCTAAGCGTGGACATAAACGTAATGAAACAATGCCTTCACTGGCGTTTGATCTCGATAACTCTATGACCTCGTCTCATAATGAACCAGAAGTCGGATTTACCGCTGCAAATACTGTGGTTGAGTTGCGTAATGATGTTCAAGAATTGAAGGCACAGAATCAAGCGCTTCTTGAGCAACTTAATAAGTTACAGGTAAATAAAGCTACTGTTTTTTTCTCGTTTGATAATATTCTCGGAAAATGCAACATGTACAACTGATTGTTCTGAGGGTACGATGGGTATTATAAAACTCTGCCGAAAGATAAATTTAAAATGGCAAGTAATTCAAGAAGGTCCTACCGCTGAATGGTCGGCTGAGAAATAGTTATTAGCACTCATCGTCAGCTTTTTTAAATGACTCATGTACGTTCTTATCCATTATAGAAACGAGTTGTGCAGTCCTGAGCTACATTTGCATACCTGCTGTGACAAATTTAAATAGTTTTTAAATACATTATTTTCTTATCTTTAAAGCTTTTGAACTCATTGTTTGTGAAAATACATTATAGCAGTTTATTTTGATTGCTGGGAAACATTTATATTTAGAACCAGAATAAATCTGAATTCAGTTACTTCAATAATGCACTTCATGAAGAAAGGATTAAAGCTCAGGTTTGTTGAAATTAAAAGTATCAATTATTTTTTAATGATGTTGTGAGTTTTTATTTGCAGTTAAGAAACATATTTTGTTTTTACGCATCGGGTCCTCTTATCTTTCTTACTTCGTTCATGAAGTAGACTAACCGGTAGACTAATATATATGTTTTTAGAGGCTTGAAGAAATGTTAAATGAAACGATTGAATTGCATCAGGCTGAAATGATTGCACTTAAATCTGATCTCAACACAATTGCTACACGTATGGATTATCAGTACAGCGACCGTTTTCGCTCCATTGAAGAGAACATTGAGAATACTCAAAATAAGGTAAAATTGTTCTTTTCTGGGCGATAATATAGTCTTGATTTATTTCCGAATTTTTTGCAATATGTTGTGCATATCGTTGGGATTATGGCGAAAATTGAATCGTGCTTGGAAATTGATCTTTGAATAAATATTCAAAGAGGTATGACTGCTTGTTATGGTGTAAAATTGTCATTTCGTCATTTTTTATTCTAAACTGTTCTAAAGGTTAACAGAATATGAGGAGAAATCAGGTCATGAATTTCAATAGCATGGTTTTGATAGCGCAAAATTTCCTTTTCTAGATGATACGGATGGAAGTAAATGTGAAAGAATGGACAGAATCTCGACCACAGACAACATTCAATTCAGTAATGCTTTCTGGAACAAATATTTTAGTGGAATTTATCAAGCTCGTATTGCTTATTGTGTCTTTTGCTCTTGATTTTGTTAAACCTTTCACCGGCACCAGGTTTGTTACTATTCTTCTACCAGTAGGAACTTTCGGATTTCAAGGATTCATTTATTAAGAATAATGATAATATTATTTTATTTCAATCGATTAAATTCCTTTTTCGCTACTGTTGTATCAGTTTTATGATTTTCAGGACACGGGCTGGATTTGTGATCTTATTTTGGCTAGCGCTAATGATTATAACACATTTCATCAATCTTGACGAATTAATACGTAGAATTGGTGGCATTTTGCATCTTGTTTCAACATCGTCATCGTCAAACTCTACTAATTTAAATTCTTTATAGTTTTTGGATCTTATTCCGAAACTAGGTTGCTTCCTAGTAATATTTGTTTATAGGTTTCAATTTCAAATGCTTCTCTGGATGTTTGTGTTGTTGAGCTTATTGGACATATCAAGTCCATTAAAATGGCAAAAACTTGTCCTTAACATGAGCGGTCTGCATTCGGTTTGCTTTTCAATGTCAGGTGATTATGATGAACTTCTCTTGCAATATTTCATGGCAAAATCATTTTGAATTTGAAATTTCCTTTATGACTAACGAAGTTCGAAGAGACTTGCACGATAGGCCTGTCTAAATAAAGAGAAGATGGTATTTGTCAGCCGGGTTTTATTTCCGCGTGTGTCAATGTGATCTTTTGTTAACAACTTCCAAGTGACGATGAATTCATATTACTGTTAATAACAGTCGCGTAGTTTTGGAGCTGCACATATTTTTCGGAAAAAGTTTCTGCGTAAAATAGTGCGAGTTATTGTTAAACGTTGATATTTTATATTGATATTTTCTTGATATTTCTCATCAGAGTGAACTGTGAAACCGGTTTCATCAAACATTTTGATTCCATTGTATACATTTTTTTCAAATAATTCAGAGTATGTTTGGACAATTATTTCCAAAGTGTTGAAGGTCGATGATTAACGTACCATTCGTTTTGTGATGCATTAAGCGCTTACGTATAAATATTTGTTACTTTTTAGCACAAGGATAACAGGGTCGAATCTGATTTATGGGCATATTGTAGTAATTATCGTATTTCGGGAGGTCACTGACCAGGATTTTCTTTAACACCAAGGTCTTGTATATAAGGCAAATGTTCATGTGTAATTTTCAACGCATGTCATCCAATTCATATAGATCACATCGGTCAAAACGGATAAGCTACTGAGTATTGTTCAAGCAGATTTTGTATCAACGCATGTGTAACCTGTTGGAAATTTTTTATTAAATTATATTTTCCCTGGTGTGTCTGACACTGTTTTGTCAAGTTGTTGATGTTTATTCTATAAGTGATAATAACTATCCGCTGTTTAAAAAGCTGGTTGTTTTAATGAGATCATTTTACAGCTGGTGATATAAGCCTTTTTCGGTATATCTATGGATGGTGCCGAAAGCATTTGTGCGGAATAAACGGACAGCTCTTGATAAATGACAACATAAATTTTTATATGTCCCTTAATTGATATAAACATAGTATGATTTATGACATATGTTTAAATTTATAGGGTAATTTGTTATTTTATGTGACAAGAGGGCAAAAATTAATATGATTTAAATAATGAATTAAAAATGGCGAAAAGAAAGAAGCTGAAAGAATGTAAAAATTAGAGTGAAGTGAATTAGAACTTAAAGAATAATTGGGACTTTCCAAGTTCGAATTTTCATTTTGAAATAACTCCCAGTGGACCTCTTTAGCGTAATGCAACAATTTTAGGTGGGTAATAAATCATGAAAGTGAAGATGATCAAACTGATTATCATGAGGAAACACTGATTAATTGCAAATCAATGAGTGCATTGTATTTACCATCTAACAACACAGTATTTGAAGAGTCTATTCATAGGCCATTGCTATCAATCTTTTGTTATCTGTCATCCTCGTCGTGTAGTACCTTTTATTATCATCATCTCTTGATATTATTTTCGGTGTTACCGTTTGACTGCGATGCATTTGTTATTGTTGTCGCTGCTCCCGAGTTTGCAATAACATTACTTTTGGATGAATAATTGTTGGTAGATGGAACCAGTACACTGTACTGAGGAGTAAACATGAAACCATCACCATAGATGAATTTTCCAGATTCATCGCTTTCCGGTATTGGTTGCGCGCCACCCACAAATGGCTGATAACGGATATTGCTACCTCGACATGGTAATGGTAAAATTGTTATCGGCAATTCCAGCAATAAGTAATCGCCGAGTGATAACTGCAACTTGTTGCACATTTGAATAGAATTTTAAAAACTAAAATTTATGACAGAACTGAATGAATTAGTGAGATTAATGAATTCGACGACATATAATCAATTAAACATGAGGACGATTAAACATGACTTTATTTTGTAATTGGAAACATTTCATCACCGTAACTACTAATGATAATTCGTTGAATCCAATGAATTTGTCACACGTTTTTTGAGTTCTCATCCTCTCTTAACAATCTTGGATAATAAAAAGCAACACATAAGCATACCTGTATGGCGTATTCAACCCGTAAAAAGGGTTTTTTTCGGAATCTCAAAGTTGCACTGCTTGGAGATTCTTGAAATTTGACTAAAAGAGAAGTGGAATTGGGTACTGGCTGATCTGGCGTCATTGTGAAATCAGCATCCGTAGTTGTAGCATTATTAGTAACAGAGGATTTATTTAATTTTGTCCCTGGAAATAGTGAAAAACTTAAACAAGGATTATTTTATTTTTTTGCAAATATGATAAATATTCGGATATCCGGTCGAGTGTCCCAAGTTACTTTTTACTAAGCCTAAATTACTAATTTTGTTACCATGCGCGAAACACATATTTCCTGTAAACCAAGGCTTCTTTTACAATAGTCCGAACAGAATTACTTAATAATATCAATAATTGTGAGAAAAAACAAACCTATAGTTGGCGCCAAAGCAGGAATTTGCAGGAAAAACACTTCATCTTTTTCTAATAGACTTTTTGACTTAACAGCATCGTGTTTCTCGAGTCGACGTATGATCAATGTCCGATTGGGTAATGTATTATTATTCTTGGAATCAACACACTGCACTCGATCCACTAGACGAAGTTCCATCTCAAAAAAAAGAAATCATTTATTAGTTTTAGTTTTATAATTACATTAAAAAATTGAAGTATTTTATAATTATATTTAAAAAACTGAAATTTTCGTAAATTTAAATATATTATATAATGTTGTTAATAATATAAAACTCATAATTGATGTAACTTAAGAATGCTATCATGTTACTTCTACCTACAATCTAAACACGGTTCTAAAATTGATTTATCAAACTGCTCTCGATCAAACTATATATACCTGATCAACTATATGCCTTGGATGTCGATTATCAATTCTGATAGAACCAATAACTGTTTCGCCCGGTGCATAGGCAGATTTTGGCAAGCGTACTTCGGCGATCAATTTTCCTCGACAACAACAACCACCAAATGATACTGTTTCTGAGGCACCAATTGGTTGCGCGACCAATTCCATAAATGACTCCACCGGTGCAATCACTGAGATCGGCTTTTTCGCGATATATTCACGCTAAAGTATTTGTTTTTATCCAACCGCAAAATGAAGATAACAGAATTTAACAAATCAAGATGAATATTATTGAACAATAATTTGTCATAACATTTATTCGGTGATAGGTAATAAAATAAGGTGAGTCTATTTAAACCTATTTAAACTTCCTTTTCCAGATGTAGTTATATCTCCCCGAAGTATTTTCTAACTTATAAAATAGATCAAATATTTAAGCTTAAACTCACCGAATCAGTTCCAGCTTCTTCGACAACAGTAGCCCGGATAAAATATCGAATAAACCCATGAGGATTTTCGTATGAAGTTGGACAACCCAGAGGTAATGGGCATTCAAATGGCAAGCAGTATAAGTAATCAGCGATCCACGGGAAATGTCCCGGTTCTGGTCGACCAGGTGGCCTTTCCAGTAACGTGAAATCTCTATCAAAATAGACCTACAACAACAACGGAATATATTCGGAAGCAGGAACATGAAAATAGATTAGTATAACTTATACTGTTAGCTTTTACAGAAATCTCAAAATCAAATCGTTGAAGCCAGTAACGATTACGGAAGATCTCAAATCTTAAGTTCTGGTGAATACTAAATTTGATGACCGGAAGTTTAAATTGATAGATGACGGGTATCAACAAAATATTTTTTTGGTACCTTTTCAATTTCAGCTCCTTTGGCGGAATCTCTTTTTATACATGCAGCACGCCCCTTGAACTGCAATTTGATGGCTTGTATGGTCATCGGTCTCTTCAGTTCAATTTGTAATTTACCGGTTATCAATTCATCACCATGAAAGATTGGTTCACTACCAGCGTCTAACTCAATTTCGAATTGCCGAAATACATCATCAGCACTTGGCATCGTTATTTGTATAAAGGAAGAAAATCCTTTTTTCTATCCTAAAAATACCATCATTGAATTATAAATTAGAAAGGGAAATGGAAACGAGTGAAACTAATCTTCCGAAAAACCGATTTTTACGAAATTCGTAAATGTTGTCATTTATTTCACGACATACAACGTTTATTTCAGAAAGTTCGCTGGGTTCTTTTAATTATGTTACTTGTACTAAAGGATGACAATCAGCCAAAAAGAAAGATGGATAAATTAAACGAAGATTGATGAACTTACCTTAAATTGACAAAATATAATATTCCACAAAAGTTTCAACACTTCAATTTAACAAAGTGTAATTTAAAATCCGAAATAATTAATTTGAAATTGATAATGGATGATTGAATCGAAAGAGAAGAAAGCGACACTAAAAATATGCTTCGCAATTGGAATTTTTTTCTTTCGTCTTTTTGTCTGTTTGTAATTTTTTCCCTTATATGATAAAAGTGGCGGTAATAGCAAGTAGAAATAGAATAATAATATGATAGTGTAATAAGAATAATAAATAAATAGTTAATAGAGGAAGAGTAATTTCAGCAAACTATAAACAATATAGTGATCGAAAATTGATGGTGCGCAATTGTATCGTCCAGTTACTGTCACCGCATCACCAATATTTACTTTTAATATGAATGCATCGTTCTTTGTTTCGTTTCTTTTTTGAAATGTCGTTCTTTTAGGGAGTGAGTACTATTTCGCTCCAATCGTTCCTTCTTCAAAAAAAAAAAAAAAAAGTTCAATTAATTTTTAATTTTTTAATGAATTCGAAAATAAGTGCAGATGACTGATCCTGATTGAATTGTTTTCATTTCATTCATTATAATTGAAGTGTCACAGACTATTTCATTCTAATCTACCAGAGCGATTAGTATTTATGGGGAATGTTAATGCAATGATTTAGAAAAATATTTTTCGGTCAGAATATCCCATCGTTGCTTTGGGAGAAATATTCGATCATTCTCGGTCATAAAACTGTCACGAGAATAATTCTTATTCTGCAAATATTCCACAACTAAAAAGTAATTATTTTTCCAGGTTTGGCATTGACTAAAACTTGGAGTATGCATATGTACAAATATAATTACGAACCTCTTCTGCTTTTATGATAAGTTTATAGATCTATTCAGAATTTGAAGAATCTATCTTGTTCAAATTTATCAGTTACAATAGATGTAGACAGCAACGGCTTCATGAAACAAACTGATAAAATTATAGATAAATACATATTTGACTATATCTCTATGAATTGACTTATCCTCTTTTTTGGTTTCTTCTTCTTTTCAACTGATTAAATCTTTTTTTCCGTTCAGTAAGGAAGAAAAAGAGAAACAAGATGACAATGAATTAATCAACAACACTTCAAAGATGAAATTTGAATGAAATGAAATCTTATCAGATGGAGCAAAGCACAAATTTCCATTATACTACTAATCAAGAATAGAATGATTTTGGCAAAATAATAAATCTAAAATGAATTAACTACAAAAAATGATCTGAAAGTTTCGACAGAAATACTAATGTGACAACCTAATTCAAATCTATAAACAAAGGGAAAGTTTTGCATCAAATATGGGAATGAAACTAACTGTTTGAAAAAGTTTCAACACATAAGAGGGAGAGAGAGAGAGAGAGGAGGAGAGAGACTATTTATACAAAAATAGAAA